TTACACAAAACAGTTGACTATGCATCAGGGAGATAACCTATTTTCATATAAAACCTCTAGTAAAAAAACGTTTAGCTTTTATACCTGATTGCATGAATTAGTAGAAACACAGCTTAATAATTATTGTATGCTTCATTTGCCAGTGTTTTTGTTGAAGTGTTGTTCTGGGCAACTCTTACTTTCAAGGCCGAAGGCAGATGTCAGCAATAGCAGTGCGTCCTTTCCAGCTGCCTAACATCGCCACAGGCTCGTGTTTCAGAGGGGCAGCCAGAAGCCAGTGGTTAGAATGTTAGAATAAAACTAGTGTGTCAGGACTGGAGCCTCTGATGGTGGGATTTTCCTGGTTTCAAGTTGGATTGTGTTAGCCTATAACTGCCCTGCTTTGAAGCATGTTTTGGTCTAGGTCTGGTCTGGTTTCCTCACCTTGCCTACTCTTATATTCCTGCTCATTGGCATTAAAATGGAAAATCGAAACAACTACACAAGAAGCCGTCTTAAAAACAGACAGCTAACCCATACTCCTCCTCTCTCATCCACAGTAGTAGCCACTTTATCACCCTGCATTGCTGAAAAGACTCCCTTTATACTGGTGTGATTTATGACCTTATGTTCCCAGATTGGGCTTCTAGATATGGATCTTCATCAAAGACTCCTTTGGTTAGAACTTTCCAGCATTGTTCAGTTGTAGATAGGGTAGTTCACCCAAGACAACCAACAAGAGCATGAGCTCTTAAACAATGACCTCCACTCTGAACTTTATTTCTGCACCTTTTGTGTTGTTGATGATATGCGGCCCAATGCTTTTTGGGATATTCAGAAAAAAACTTGGAAATATCTGTGAAATGACCCTCAATTGAACTCACAACCCACCCCCCCCTTGCCACAGGAACTTGCAGCTTAACCACAGAAAATGGACACTTTCACTTCTTTATAAAGAGATTTCTTTGAGCAGATTTTTAGCCCCCATTCTCACATTTTTCTACAGTCCACATTCTATTTCCATCCTAACAAACACCAACTTAACCTTCCCAGGCTATATTTAGCCCTGTGACATGACAGAAAGCATATTGTCCCTTATTTGTGGGGTCTGGTTGCATGCTCTTTTTGTAACATTGCATCATTGTGAGTAGAGGCAGCAGCACAGACTTCATGAATGAACTGATCCTCTGCCAGGAGCTGGAAGATGGCACTGATTCTACTGTGATGTCACTCAAGAGATGAGTAGAATGGAGAGGGGGATCTTTATGAATCCCCCCATTCAATTGTTTGGCTCTGTTTCAATTGCTTTTAGCCCACCAGTGCTTCTCTTATCCCTTGGTGGGCTCATTTTACAGGCTGATGAGTCATGCTCCCCCAGCCATTTAAGATACTCTCATGCTGTCTTTCCCAGTTCTGCCCAGCCCTACCTAGCTATGCCTGTTCAGACCTAATTAACTTTGGGTCTAAGCAGCAGCAATCTTAAATTCCCACCCATAATTCAAAATGCTGACAAAGACTCCTGCCAGTTTAGTGTAAGGATCCATGGTAGTTGTCCCAGTCAAATAATGACAAGAGTAGTGAATCAATACCTTTTACTGCTTCTCTAGCTGAAAAACTACTCTCAATTAGTACTTCTTAGAATATATTAACATCTTGCAACTTTACTAGAAATGGCCTCCAGTTCATATTTTTGTCTGCTGGTACCCTTTTTTTTAATTCAGAGTCTGGTTTGTGAAATTTGAATGCCATAATGTTGCCTTGTGATTTACACACCCTCCCACAATTTCGTGAGCTAAGTGGATGGGACTCATTTTGCGGACAAACCCACACTGTCTAATGTGGAAAGTGATGACTTGTGGATGCTTTAAGGCTCAGTGCGCACTGACCATGCTGCATCTAATGGGACTCACAGGCATTGAAATTGTATCAGGACTTCATCATTTACTAGGGATCGTCTAGGTCCGAGCTCGCCTCTTTCCTACTAATGGATACGTATTGTACATTAACGCTGCCATGGATAACTTCCATAAGGATAATTCACCATACTGCTCTATTATCACTTTAGTTTTGCATTTGGAGTTTTCCTTTCAACATTGCTCTACCCTCTGCTACATGCTTCACACAAAAATAAACTGTGTAGATGAATACAGTGCACAAAAAAATATTGTCTTTAGATGCACATGCATTTTGAGTTAATAGTTGAGTTGTATTTGGTTTGAATTTTCACTTCAAAGCATACAAGTAGTTGGATAAAACAAAACTTTAATTTTACAGTTTAAGTCTGCCAGTATTCTTAGTTCTTACATATCTGTTTAATACGCCCAGCATAGCTAGTTATACTCTGTGGTGTTGAGTGTCTTTTGATGGAGGATTTAGTGTTAAAGTGGGTTCCATTTTGCGTGGGCGAGCACGCACAGCAGCCAGGCTGATAAAAGCGATGGGGAGGGAGGGGACTCAAACGGTTCGAAAGTGCAGACAAACTTCACTCTATCCAGCTCAAATAAACTGCCACATTTTGCCTCTGTCTTCACATCAAAGCTCAGACTGTCTGAGCCGTTTGCAATATGAGAGTATCTGCTCCGCTAACGCCTCTTAAAAGGAAAATAGAGTTGGTAAAAGGCTAGATGGAGTTACTGTCAGGGAAAACTCAACACGGCTTGCTAAAGTCTTATTGTTATTACACAATTGTGATGTTGAAGTTTGTTAGCAATATTATGAGACTGTAGTCTAAAAGGATTTGCTTGTTTTGTTTTAGACGGCATTGGTTTGTATAAGATTCCTGCCCACTGGTAGTTCTTGCATGATTGGTGACGTCTTTTGAGTTTTACAAATAATAAAAGCAGAAAAAGTAAAAGTTTTAGTAGTCTGCATTTTAAAGAATCCTTAAATAGATTATTCCACTCATGTTTTGGATAGAGTAATCCACTAAGGTCCGACTTTTGTATTGTTTAAGTTTTTTAGTTTAACCAATCAAATGCAATCAACAGTTGGTTTAAAACCTGTGAAATTACCTTTTTTTTTTGCCCAATGACAAAATAAATAAAATATCTACTTTAGAATTAGCAATCCATAGAGTGTTTTTTATTTAAAAAAGAAAAAAATACTTTTTTATTTTAAAATGGTAACACTGCAGCCATTACTAAGATATATATATATATTTACATTTTTTATATTGCTGTTTGTTATTCTATTTTTTATATAGTAACAAACTAGCATTACCTACTATTTTTAGAAGTAGTTTAAGCTGCAGATAAGCAAGGAAACGATGTGAGCTGCATTACTCCACAATTCATTTAATCAACAAACCTCTGACGACTTTAGCTACTTTTCTTGCATTCCCTTGATAATCCGTGGTATTCCTTCATACCAGAATCCAACCCTTTTCTAATTTTAAGTTGTTTTGTTGTTCTAAGAAGCTCTTTGTTTTTGCTTTCCTGTGTAATAGAATGTAATATAATTTAATATTGGCATAATTGATTCCCATGAACATCCAAAGAACCATCTTTTGTCCCAGGTCTGTATTGAACGGAGGAACATAGAGCCCTACTTTTTACAAACTGCCAGACAGACACCGGTTACATGGGTGAAGGAGGGACAGCTGCTCTGCATTCCAGACAAGGTCGAGACGTCAGTGAGCGGTGAAAACAAGCATGAGCTTAGCTCTGCTTGGCAGATAAAAACCACACGCCGGTAGAGATGCCAAGACATCTGGGCTCGACGAACGGTGGTTCTATCCTGGCGAGTGACACAGTTTTCCCTCTTACCAATTTGCCTGTTAAGATCAGATTACTGATTTTTGACAGTCTTGAAAGACTAACTGAGGCAAAAGAGGTTGCATGAAAGTTGAGGCTTGATAAAACTAATCCTGTGGATAAATAAATAAGATACTGACTGCGCTGTGGTCTGTAAATTCAGCATTTATCATGTTCATATGTTGCACATTGATGGTACTACATGTGGGTTTCTTTTGAAAATGAAGATGAGCTCTTTGCACATTAAATGATAAGTTAGTTGAGTTTGTTGTTTTGGAAGACTGTGGATTTTTGTTAGCATTGAGGTCTTTATGTCCCTCTCCCATCATCTTCTCCTTATGGTTTGCGCCCTTTATCCCACACTTTTGCAGCTTGGTCAATCTAATTAGATGAGTGCAGTCATCAGGCTCTGTTTAAAGCCATCAAAGGCAGCCCTGTTCCCTGCTGGGTGCCCACTGGCAGAGAGCAGAGAACAGTAAACACAGTGTTGTCACTGCGACCCTCGAGACAGCCCACCCCCCCACTCTTTAAGCCACCCACTAGCACTCTTGGTGACATCATCACCCCATCCCGTGACCCTTGCCCTGTCAGAATGTTTGACCCCATGCTTGGTCTTGCGACACTAGTTCCACTGTGTCAGGGCGACGTGGTAGGGGTCGCAGAGTCTCTGATGGGCACCAGACATTGCGCCCCCACCCAGGATGTAGAAGCAGGGGAGCAGATTGGGTCTGGGGAGCCTATAAATAATATTCATTGCCAGATGATCTTGGATTTTGTACGGAATTATGTCTACGCTGAAACTTCAAACAATAAATTATATATGCAGTGCCTTAAAGGGCACATTCACACCTTTTAGTCCGCTCTAAATTGTCAAACTAGTGTGATGCAAACTTTTATTCCATTAGGACCTGTGCATTAGCACTCTCTCTGAAGAGGGGGCAGAAACTATTTAACTATATATGTTTGAGTGTAACGCTACAGTTCAGCTAATCCCTTAAAATCATGAATACAGTTAAGCGCCTGTTGACAAGGCCAGAGGAGCCCACTGTTTAAAATACATAGTCCAGTATGTAGCCTTTCAACCATCAGCTAACCAAAAATCACACTAAATTGTATATAATATAAAAGATATATGTATCGTTTTTTAACATATGTGAATGAGTCTCTCTCTGTGAATGTGTTTAATGTTGGTGAATCACTTTTGGATAAAATTTCTCAAATCTAAAAACAATGTTTGATTTATGTATATATTTTATTCATGTTTTGCAGATCCAGAGTGTGGAGACGTCCCCCTGTTGACTCCTGGGAGTAAAGAGATGATGTCCCAAGCTCTGAAGGCCACATTCAGTGGCTTCACAAAGGAGCAGCAAAGGCTGGGTATTCCCAAAGGTAAAGACTGTCAGCTGGTTATTTGTGGGAATCTTATTTTCTCAGCTAGGACTTAGACTGCAAATCCACTGCGATGCTTCACATGCCGGGCATACATTTGTTTTGTTTTACCCTCTGAAAGGTAATTTGTACCAAAAGAAAGGAAACCCTGTGTAAAACTTCATGTATTCTGGTTCAAGCACACTTTCACTTCTACACAGAGTAAAAACATGATGAGTTGGCCTTTAAATCCATGCAACCACAAACAGACATGCTGTTTGCAATCAATCTGACTGACAGTATCACAATGTAATCCCACTACAACTGACAACCATTGCATTTTAGCACTGTGGTTAATGTTCCCTTCCGTCCCTATGTTCTTTGTGACAATTGGCAGTTAGTGAGCGTGAAACCAGAAATTTCATATCTAGCCTCCATTGAATTTGTTGTGCACTCACTTTCAATGGGTTTGCAGTAAATATACCAATCATCAGCTTTTTATTGCTCTGCAGATCCCAGACAGTGGACAGAAAACCATGTGGTGGAATGGCTAACGTGGACAGTAAATGAGTTCAGTCTGAAAAATGTCGACTTTGAGAAATTTGGAATGAATGGAGCCAGCCTGTGCGCGATGGGGAAGGACCGCTTTTTGGACTTAGCACCTGACTTTGTGGGCGACATCCTTTGGGAACATTTAGAAATGCTCCAGAAAGGTAATGCAACAAACAATTCAGTGAAAAAAGCCAATCATACTTTCTTGTTCCTGTTCTTGTTTGTTTTCTATATTTGCTGTAAGTTTAGAAAATATATTTAATCCATAGTGGTTGTTTTTTTATTTTTTATATAATTGAGGGTCCTCATGGCAGTTTAGTAACAGGAGACAAACAGGAAGGCATGTTTTCACTCAAGACATTAATTTTTGATAATGCTGGATGCAGTTACATGATAGAAAAAAAAGAGCAAAAAATCAATAATGAGGTCACTGACGCTTACTCTCTATCCATTTTTTATGAAGAGGATACAAAGCATTACCCCATCAATGGACTGACCTCCAACTTCCAGGAATCTCGTTATACCTCAGACTATTTTGTCAGTAAGTACTCATCACAATCGTCGTCAGTTGTTCTCTCTAATTGCCATAGATGCATCTCTAAGATATGAATGGAAAGTTGATCCGTTTTGTGAATACAAACTGCTATAGTTACAGTTTGCCACTAGTTCTAGAATAATAATTATGTTGGTAAATTTCAGATCTACAGGGATACTTTTGCATTTAGTGATATTTTTCCATAGAAATTTTAATTTGGGAAAATTTGAACGCTAGACAAACAATGACTGTGCTTCCCTTTGCTTCATTTATCCTTCTGTTTTTTTTCTTTTTAATTTAGCTATCCCCCTTAACTTGCCTCTGTGTTTCCAGGCTATGGTATTGAGCATGCTCAGTGTGTCCCTCCTTCTGAATACTCAGAGCCGGGCTTCATCACGGAGTCCTACCAGACGCTCCATCCCATCAGCTCTGAGGAACTGCTTACACTCAAGTATGAGAGCGAATACCCCGGCATCATCCTACGAGACACGGCCCTCAACTCCATGCAGGGGGACTATTTCTCTGTCAAGCAGGAAGTGGTGTCCCCCGACAATATGTGTGTGGGACGCCTCAGCAGAGGTGAGGGGTCTTGCACTGTATGCTATTGTGCCTTGTGAAAGTATTCATAACCTTTAAACTTGCCCACTTTTTGTCACGTTGCAAGCATAAACTTTAAAGTGTTTTGTTGTGATTTGTTTTTTGGATAGACCAACACATTTCTATGGAGTATGAGGAACAAAATATATTGTTTTAGATATATATTCTTTTCTAGATTAAAAGGCTTGGGAAACATTTATATACAGCATTTTTTACTCTATTGCTCTCAAATGTGGTTCAGGATGAGATGTGTCTTTTATTGATCCCCATGGGGGAAGGTCAGGGATTACTGCTGCAAAATTTTTGATAATATTTTATTTTTGTTTTTTTCTATTTAATATAATTATAAATCCAGCTGTTCTATGAAGCTTAAAGGTTTGCTAAAAGTAGATGGTTTTTTTTTCAGCAGGGATAGGGGACCTGAACAGAGTTTAGAAGGACAGATGCATATAGATGCATCCCAGTTAAACTCCATTTCTAAATCTTACAGTAAATCTCTTTAACGACTATAAAATTGATGGTCACAGAACCGCTCCATACTTATACCCAAGCTAGTAAAAAGGGTGCTAAAAAAAACTTGCCCCTATAGTTTTTAAAATACAAATTAAAATGGGAGTTTATTTTTTTTTTAAGAACATGAACATCATCCTGCCCTAACCACTTTATTTTTTTCTGTTTGCTCATCAAATCAAACTTAACTGAAATGCATTGAAGTTTGTGGTTGAAACAGGAAAATATGTGAGAAAGATCAGGTGATGTGACTACCTTTACAAACCATTGGCCTTATGTTTGGGGAATCCTTTTGGTAAACTAAATCAGCGTTCGCACAACCGTTTCAAACCAAATTCTAACTTTATTTTAGAACTTATTAAACCTGTCAGTACATGCATGCATGTGTCTGTGTGCAGATGTTGTAGGTGTCTGTGGGTGTCGGCCTGCGTGTGATTGTGCTGAAGCTACCAAAATCTTGTCATGCCACATCAGTGTGCACGCATTAAGAGAAGAAAAGCAGGCCCTCTGGTTGGTTTGTGGTTCATGCAAACCCGCCTCACATACTCGAGACTAGGTTGGGAAAAAAATGAAAACCCTATTGTTTTTGTCAGAGTGATACACGAACCAAAGCCACAATGTGTTCTCTGCTCACCGCTTGTCCCTTATGTAAAGCAGTTCAAGCGGCGTAACACTAAAGACGGAGAGTTGTTTTTCTTGGCCTCTTTTCCTCATCTCAGCCTCTATGTTCTGGGTAAGGAGATAGAGGTGTCATCTTCAGTTAGCAGGCAAGGGGTTTTCTCATGAAACAGTTTGCTTTTTTTTTTTCTAATTGGCAGGCTTGTTTTCTCTCCAAGTGATAGTTTACAGAGGAATTAGCAACATGGTTTACATTTTAAGTCATAAAGAGAGGGGCTTTTCTTCTCACAAATCCCCAACTGCATAAATGAAGAGCATCTGCCATGTACAGCATTAAAGGGCCCCCCTGTTTTAGGGTTTTAAATGTTTGCCTGGAAGATTTAGGATCCGATCATCACGCAACACACATACCGAGCTCTCAAGCGTTGTGTTGTTGCTTGCTCGATGTGGGAAAAGTCTTTGTAGCCTGAGTGATATTCACATGTGGCTTCAATTTTACCAGCTGAAGATCTCAGCGTTGGTGGAGGCACTGCATTATCTGTCATTTGTTAATGACTTACAATTCAAAGACGCCGCTTATCTTTCCCAGGACCAAAAATAGCAAGACAGTATGTGTGATTGTCTTCCATTTGGAATCAAAGCCAAATGGTGGTTGTAAAAGCGAAATGGGGTGTGAAATGGAAAGGGTGGCACAACAGAGAACTGTATGGCTTAGAAAGTGAAGCAAGATTTTCCTGCTAAGGTCTTATGTTAGTCAATGATTTAATCTTTGCTACCGTATCCACTGCCTCCCAAAATTATTGTATAAACTATTATTGTTTATAATTATTATAAGATCTTACAATGCTAAATTATTCTTTCACCTTTAACTTTTTTCACTAAACTCACAAACTTCAATGTATTTCATTAGAATCTTGTGTATGAAAACAACACAGTGGTCCATCATTCTGATGTTGAATAAAAATTATAAATGGTTTTCAACATTTAAAGTGAAAATCTATAAAGTGTGCATATGCATTCGCCCCCTTTTTCTCATTTACCCCCAAATTAAATCCAGCGAGCCTGCAAAAAGCATTTTGGATCCTTCTTATTATATGGATATATGTATATGGTTTAATCTTAGAGTAAATACAGCTGTTTTATGCAGACTTCCATAGTTTGTTAGAGAACATTAGTAAGAAAATGGCACAGCAAGTCAGGAATAAAGTTGTAAAGAGGTTTAAATTTGGTTAGACATCTGAGACAGCACCTCTTATTCCATCAGAAAGAGTTTGACCAAACTACTAACCTACCAAGACATGCCCTTAATGAAACTATATGGAAACTAAAAATCAAAAAATCATCTAGAACCTTGTCTGTACCCTGGAGGCGCTGTGGAAAGCTCAAGTTACTTTAATAATAATAATAAAAAATAAAGTTAAGTTATGAAAACTTGTCAACATGTCTACTATTAGCTATGCACTCTATTAATCTGGCCTCTTTGGAAGTGTGAGAATAAGGCATCCATGGGAAGTCTAGTTGACAAAAATTGATGTAGGAGACACAACAAATACTGTATGTGGGAATATGTATGAAGTTTTCATCACCTTTTGTTTCTCTACACTAAATGTACCAAACTTTAAACATGCTCCTCAATGACAAATCCTTCCCCCCTCTTTCGTATCCCTTCCCAGGTAAACTTGGTGGCCAGGACTCCTTTGAGAGCATCGATAGCTTTGAGAGCTGTGACCGACTGACCCAGTCGTGGAGCAGCCAGTCGTCGTTCAGCAGCCTGCAGCGGGTACCATCCTACGACAGCTTTGATTCAGAAGATTACCCCACCGCCCTGCATGGCCACAAGCCCAAGGGCACCTTCAAGGACTACGTGAGGGAACGCTCCGACCTCAGCAAGGATAAGCCAGTCATCCCAGCGGCAGCGCTGGCAGGATACACGGGTAAGATGACAAGAAGGCAAACATCAAATGTGAGAATCTTGTGGTTTGTAATATTTTTCAATAACACCTAAAAAGGCTAAATGTGAATCTGGGAAAAGTTTCACAGAAATCCTCATTTTTGGATTAGGAATAGATCCTTACAGGTTGTGTATTCATGCCATCACCAGACGGGGTAAAACTTATTATTTTACTTCTTGTAGTTTCATTGCACAGCTGTAACACAGTTGTTGATGCTTTGCAAAACTCCCACATGTGGGAGTTTTGTGTTTGCACTACTTTTTAAATAAAAAAAAAGAGAAACACCTTTTACCAAAGCTGCCCAAGTTATGCAGATCAAAGGCAGCAAAATAGATTTTGCTCCTGCCTCCTCCTTCTCTTCTTCTTTGCTCTCTATTTTTCTTTCTCACTCTCTTGTTCTGCCTTCACTTCTAATCTACCTCGTCGCTATCTGCAGCCCGCATCTAAACCTATTTTTCCAGGTCGTCCTAGCAACGGTGGTAAAATAAAGAAATCATGCCTGCCCTTGCGCGCAGCCACACAGCAAAATTATCTCTTCATCTTATTGAGGCATCTTCACACCCCATACGTGCTCGAAAAAGCTGCTTGACGTATGCTCTTCAGGTTCACAAAGATGTTGAGATACTTGCAAACCTCTTAAGCAAATGCACTATTTTTGCATCTGTTAAAAGTTTGAGTTTATATTTGGTGTTGTTGTTACCTTTAAGTGCTAACTTGATGTGTGTAGGAAGGTAAAAACAAGTTTAATGCTTGTTGGTTCTAGTATTTTGTTGGCCTAAGCGTAGTATTAACTTTTAACATTTATAGGGAAATCATTAAAATGTTTACTGCCGACTCTGCAACGGGACTTTTTCATTCTAGCTGAAAATTACAGTCACAAGAGTGCATCGCTCTAATAAAAAAAGGGGGAAAGCCGAGTGGATCTTTCGAACGTCAAAAACAATACATACATGAGATCTCATTAGACTGATCCGAAGTCGGTATGCACGAGTTAAGTCTTCATGTGCAATGTTATTAGTTCAAAAGCCACTTGAGGCCCAATGAGTCATTCATTTGTAATGATGTTGGAAAGATGTTGTAATGGATTTTTAATCAAATAACAAACAGAAGACACAGCTCCTCCAAAACCATTAAAGACTTGCGTTGCTCCCTGCACCCTTTGCTAAAATAAGTGTTTCAAAGTTAATATTTTTTTGTATGATCACTCCGATTTTTGGGGGGGTGTTTTTTAGGCAAGATTAAAGCATTAGTAAGTTTTTTCTTGTGCAAGTTTTGTTATATCTAATATATTGCAATGTTATTTCAATCTGAGGAACATTGCTTTCATCTTAGCTGTATATTAGAAAGCAAGGTGCATACAACTTTTACAGGTAAAGCCGTTTATCAACACAAAATGTAAATCGACTAATAGCACAAACCCAAAAACTTAAATGAGGTTGAATGTGACAGGATGGTTTGTTCCAGACAAGCTGGGTTAAATATCTGACAGGCCTCTGATCTACTATAACCATCATGCATAACCTGGTGGTTATGCATGATGGTTTAGGAAGCCTGTTTCAAAATAAAAATAAAAACTGTGTGGGCAGCAAATGATATAGTCTGTTTACTCACAGTAGAATAAACAGACTAGTTTGAGTAAGAGAGAGAGAGTAATGTAAGAGAGGCAACACTTTTCAAATAACATCTAATCATTGCAGCAAAGATAGGCAGAATATCATCTTTAAACATACCATACTTCACTTTTGAGAACCGATTACCAAATAAGCTCAATTTAAACACCACAGGCTACCTGAGTATTGCTGCTGACAATCTTCATCTTCATGATAATGCATGGTGCCTAAAACATTGGCTCATTTTAGAAAGGGTTCATTGTCCTCCAATAGTCCATATAGTTACCAGATATCCCAATAGACACCAAAACAGGTTTATAAACATGTCCAAAAACAATGTTTATAGCAACTCAGGAAGTTGTTCTTCTTGATTTCCTGTCCTGATATGACAGGTGACATTAAGGTTGAGGAAAAGGTGTAAGATAAGGCTACTGAGCGATAAGTGAAGCTCTGTTTGACATCTTTACAGGTTTCCTGTAGTAGTTTGCGATTTTCATCTCTGTTTACCCTGCAAACAGACAAATTCATAAACTGCTCAAACATCTGTATTTTAATATTGATTTTTACTTTTTTTTTCTCTGCTGGAAAAAAAAACCCACATAAAAACTAGTTTTCTTACACATTGATAAGGAATAATATTTGCAAATACTAAAAAGAAGGTTTAGTAAGAATCTCCCCTCATCTATCAGTGATATTGTTTCTATCTTAGTTGTGCATATCTAAGACGTATTTAGTGTTCTATGGATTGCATACTAAACATTGCAGTGAATGGAAGCCCCCACCCTCTTGCCACAGTGTATGCTTTTTCAATGAAGCCCTTTGTGCATGAAGAGTGCAACATATTTTTGGAAACTTTTTTTTTTTTTTTACGCGGGTCGCCTGCATTCTGCAATGAAAGCACAGCGAGCTGGTATCGCCCATGTATGTGGGCCGACTGCTACTTTGGCTCGCTTTTGAACAGTTTGCGCCTGAAAGAGACGTAGTGTTGCAAAGAAGTCACTTCTTTTTAAGCCCAAAGTGGCTGTTTATTCTGCACCGTCTTCAGTCCCAACGGGAGTTTTATAAAAAGGTCTCCGAAATGCCATTTCAAACTTTCGGCCCACGCGTCTGTTTCACAGAAAGCTTTGGTTTTGAGTTGTGTAAGGGCACATTTGGTTTTTCTTATAGGCTCAGGAGACAATGAGGTGAGTCTAGCTGAACTCCAGTTTTGCTGAGGCGGCGTGCGCTGCAAAGGCAGGTGTGATTTCAACATTGGAGCCTCAAAGTGGGCGCGTTCTTCTATGTGAAAAAAACCACACGATCAAAGTGGAGCACAGTGAATCTAGTTCATATACAAAACCTTCTTTTTTTTCTCTTTGTTCTGTCTTCTCTCCTTTTTCCATCAAGTCTTGTTTTAGTTGTAATAATTGGAATTATTAGGTTTCTATTTTTATCTTTCTTTAAAAAAACAAACCCTATTTTAGTATAAAGTATATATTTGGAGGAGCTTTTCTCTTTCTGAAGCATTGCTTCTAAGTTGTTAGATGTGCTGCAGACGCCCAGAGGCAGCACCTCTTTTTTAAAATGGTGATTTCATCAGTGAGGAACTCATACAGACACAGACTCTAGATTCACATACTGTAGAGGGCCATTGGCAGACAAGGGACTACATGATGAATAAGACTGTTGTATTTAGTAGGACATTTAGTTCCACTGCTTTCCTTCAGCCTGACCCAGATTAGAAGGTTTACTTTGTCCCTCTTCAGACCTAAGTGAATAATTGGCATGAATATTTAGCAGTTTCATATTTAGGACTGGACAGTGTTGAGATCTGGCATTCTATTTGGCCTTAAAGCTTTTTCTTTCCTGACAAATTCCTCTTGCACTGCAATGTGTCATAAAATATCTGAAAGCAAGCTATGCCAAGAGCTGAGCTTTAGGACCTTGGTTTATATGCAGCACTAGCATCCTATGGATGGATGGAGAATTTTAATACCTTGAACCAATAAGTACACTTTAGAACTAGGGAATGTTCCCTCAAACTTTGATCCCTATGGCCTGAGCAAACACTTACCTCAGTAAAGCCTCACTCTGGCCAGCATCAGGACAATCAACAATGCAGTCTCTCAATGTAAGCTGCCCAAACAAAACACCTCCTTCAAACACCCTTTCGCATCTGTTCCACAGGCAGTGGCCCCATCCAGCTGTGGCAGTTTCTTCTGGAGTTGCTGACCGACAAGTCCTGCCAGTCCTTCATCAGCTGGACAGGCGACGGCTGGGAGTTTAAGCTCTCTGACCCAGATGAGGTGAGAGGTTGTGACCCTCCTGGTCACTGGCACACGAGATGGGAGGTCCTAAGTGCTTGGCCAGATGAATAAGATGTCTTCTTTGTAAAAACAGTTGCCTCTAGTTTCTGGGCTGGTGTTTAATGACTAGGTCCTACTTGGATATATCAATTTTAGTACCATGCAAAAGTATTTTTTTTTTTCAGATTTATTTACACTGACGCAATACCACATTAATGCATTTAAATGGGAATTTTAAGACAGCAACACCATGTGGTGCAAAAGTGGAAGGAATCCTAAAAAGGTTTTTAAATAACGTCTGAAAGATTTTTGGCATACATCTCTAAACAGATTTTTTTTTTTTCAAAATTTTCCTAGATTCCATACATTGATCTAGCTATTATAACTCTGGCTCTGTGCGTAGCGCTAGTTGGAGACTTAAGTCTTTCAAAGCCTCTAACAGATTATTGTCCATCTTTCAATTGTCTCTTACTAGTTTCGCTTTTCATGCTAAAAAGGGTAGACTCAAAAGGATGCTACCACTCCTGTATCCCTCAGGGGAAATAGGACAATGGAGGTAGGATTGCGTGCATCATTCGTTTCTGCTACTCAGAGCATCATATGTGCAGACTGAAAGGTTTGCACATATGATGGCCCCCCACATGGCTGGTTGTAAACCACAAACAAGACTTTCTTTGTCTTTTGACATTTCAGCAATCATCCCACTCTTTCTTTAAAGATCAGAATTGCGAACTGCACATCTACTAGTTGTTGGTGTGTTTCTCTGATTAAAGTCCACCCTTCCCAGCCTGACGGTATTGGGGTATTGCCATATTAATTTAAACTGCACACAGAGGACCTTTATTTACTGATCAGTTGACTTTTATTGCTCTGTATGGCATTTAAGGAATCAATGTTTTATTGGTAAAAGCAATGGAAAACACAGTTGTTTCTATTTTAGAATGATATGCTACTTAAAGTTAATGCGTCATATAAAATCCTTATCAAATAGATTTAAGTTTTATTTATTTATTTTTCTCTTAAAGTAGGAAAATCACAAAATGTTTGAAATGCATTCATACTTTTGCAAGGAATATCATATCCATTATTACTATTATGATGTAGGCCTGAAATAAAGTTAATAAGGATTAATCTATTATTAAAATAATCAACAAATTTAGTAATCAGATAATCCTTTTTTTCTGGATTAACAACCTATTCAAAACAGCAAAAATACACATTATGCTTTTGTTTAATTCTACAAATAAAAATATGTTCTAACCAGAATTTCTCAAGTGGCATTAGTTTTAGTTCTATCCTTTAGCTTTATCCATATTAGCCCCTTGTGTTTTTGATTAATAACCAGTTAATCAATACAAAAGCAACTAGTCAACAGGAGAATTGATGAGCAAAATAAGTCACCTCCTTCTCCTGATGAGCTTGTTCCTTCTGCCTTTGCAGGTTGCCCGAAGGTGGGGAAAGAGGAAAAACAAGCCCAAAATGAATTATGAGAAACTGAGCCGTGGCCTGCGCTACTACTACGACAAGAATATTATCCACAAGACTTCTGGGAAGCGCTACGTCTACCGCTTTGTCTGTGACTTGAAAAGCTTGCTCGGCTACACACCTGAAGAGCTGCACGCAATGTTGGACGTAAAGCCCGACACAGACGAGTGAAAACAGAACCGAGGGGGAAAAAAAGCAAAAACAAACTGAGGACAAAAGTTAAGGAGCCACAGGGACTGAGGCTTGTGAGACAGACTTGGTAATCCATTTTTCTGGGGGGACCGAAAAGTTTTTTTAAAGACTCGGTGTGGTCTTTGTCAGGTTTGAGCTCCAGTCTTTCAGACCACGTTTTAAAAGGAAGGCAGAAGCCAAAAAAAGCCTGTATTCACAACCTGTTGGATTTGACGTGCTTACCTGTGTGTGAGTGTGCATTTGATTGTGCGCGTGTGTGAAATGTTACTGGTATTATTTAGCAGCTCAAGGCAAGTGAGGCGCTATTGGGTAGGATTATCAGGTTATCTTCTGTTCCGTTTAGGTAGCAAAGCGGGGGAGACGAGAGCTCCGAGATACAAGGTGTGAATGAACAATGCAGTTCAAGAAGGAACCTTTTTAAAGTAACTCATTTCTTTTTTGAGTCAATGAGGAAGCAGGTAAAAGGTTCCTGCTGAGGTAACAGTTGCCAAAATGTCATTACTGAACTGATATTTACATCTATTATCACTGTTTCTCTTCTGCAAGTAGAGAGTTTTTAGCAAGGACCAAAAAAAGTGTAATGTTGGATTTAATGTTCAAGGACCATATGCTTGTGCCAGTATTATATTGTTAGAGCACCTGATTAATGTCTCGTAGGCTGATTACTGGGCAGAGTATTTCTTTTTTAAAGGGGTTTAAAATACATTTCACCACTGAAAGCCAATTTACATTGCTCTCTTCATGCAGAGCATTGCAGAACTGCTCCAAACTGAGTCAGACAACACTAGAGACACTCTAGCCCCATGCTCTATCAGCCTGCAAGAGCCTGTTTGAGATTACTCATACCCAAAGATGTCTGAAAGACAACTGAAAGTAGCCGTTGCTCTTGAAACCGACGCTTTCACCCTTTATGTACGTGTGGCCACCTTGTTAGGGACACATTCTGTGACTGAAACATAAGCATTTTTGCATATGCCTCCAGTATTAGCAAACTGTAGACAATCTATGTGGGGAGAATCAGGAGTCTTTGGTGCAAATTAGATGAACCGTTTTGTCAGTTCACTGTCAAGATCAACGATCGTTTTGATAATGTTTTAATGGTTCTGTCTATTCTGTAAAAGTTATGGTGATTTTTACTCAACTTGAAATGTCAAATTTAGTCCCTTTTTGTCTGTTATCTAGCACATGTTGCCCATAGAAAGGAGTTAGAATTGTGTGATGGTGCAATGTAGGAAGACTGAGCAGCAGTAGACAAATGTTGGCTATGGAGAGTGGGAATCTGTTAGGTATGAACAATGGTCATGGAAAGGAGGTTTTTGGAATATGCAGGTGATTATCACTTAGGAAGTAGAAAGGACGCAAGTTGGCTTGTATGACTCATGCAGGGTTGATGGCAGACTATTCCGATTGTTGTTTATGTGTGTTTTATCAATTAACAAAATAATATATGTCTCAGAGAGTGTCGTATTCAAAGAGCACATTTATATCAATTCACTGGTTACAATTTAAGCGAATTGGCAGTGGTTTCCTCCCCAAGTAGTGGGAACAGTGTCGGTACACTGGGAAATGCCAAAGTTGAATATTATCCTAAAATACTATGTTATTGTTTACAGTGGCTGAATGTTACCCATATGGATGAAAATAGCTTTGGAGATGTCTATTTGTACAGATTGTATTTCATAATGCTTTATTGAGACCCGGATTACACAAATAATCGTGAGACAAAGCAGGAATAATAACCAAAACCCATGTGAGGTCTTTTGGCTACGGTGCTTTGGGTGTCTACAATGTTTGAAGACACAGAGCAGAAATTTCTCATGTATTTGGAAAGTGTTGTCTTTTATCTTTTTTTTTGTAAAGCAGACTGCTTTAGGACAAAGTCTTTGCTGATTCGGGTTTCCCACTGAGTGCAGAGAAGAGATGCTGTATTTGTTCTTCTTGCCTAACTGGTAAAAAGCTCCATCATTCATCCAGCACTGACTCTCAAACCTGTGTTGCTTTTACAATACAGTGAATAAGATCTAAATGTAATAAACTGCACTGTATGTTCAGTCTATTCTTCTTGTTTCAAAACAGTGTTTCTTTTGTTTCTGTTTCTTTTTTGTTTTGTTTTTTCCATTTTGTTGTCATAATGTATAAAACAAAGGAAAACTTTATTGCCTATAATGTTAATATTTCAAAGAAAAATGTTTTGTCAGGAAGCATTCTGTTGTTTAATGTGGGAGACTACAACCTACTGCAGGACTTGTTATCAGTGACGAGTATATATACACGCACCAATATTTTGTGGCATATGCATATCTCAAAATGGATTTTAGAAGGAAAGCCTTATTGTCTTTTAATGGATGTTATTCTTTTCTGTACATTTTATAGTGTCTTTGTATTTTTTTTGTTAAGAGATCATTTTTATTGTATTTAGTTCACAAACATTTGAATATTTTTCAATAATTTATATTTTATAAAAGACGAGAGACGCAGACAGCTGGTGCTTTCATGGGAATTTAAAGGTAGCGCAGGACAAAATAATGTAGCGGAGTTCTTTTCAATTGTCTGTTTTTTTGTTTTTGTTTTTTTTTTAATATAAAAAATAGACCTGTCTGCTTGAGGAAAAAAGGCTGATGCTGGCCCATCAATGATTTCTGCTGGAAAGGTTTTATAAACTGTAGCTTCTATTTCTAAAATGTACTTCAAAATGTTATAAAATATATGTGAAGAAAGATTTTATCATTCTGTGTGATGTTTTATTTATCTCTATATGGTTAGTTCTTTATACTGAGGAAAAATACATGCAAACTTGCCACTAGGTAATCTTCTGGAAACCAATTTCAGCTTTATCAGCTACTTTGCTGTTTCTGCATCATCTCACATACTTTCTTGTAAATCTGAATGATTTGAATCATTCTATGATGCATTAGTTGATTTATGATTTTAAGGCATCAGTTTACCTAACTGATCTTCCTAAGATAGTTAGAACATGCATCTTTTATGCTAATGTAAAATGTGGACCCATTAGTACAAGTCAGATTACTATGTATTTTGGATTCTATGATTCTCCTTAAAGGAACTTTTAAATTTTTCTTAATGGTTGATAACTTATTCATGAACAGTTAATCATTTTTAGAGGAATGAATGTGAGATTTTGAAACCCAACCTCTTTTTATTTACTTCCTACACATCTACACCTTGAGTATTCAAAGGTATTTCCCGACCAACTCTATATGCAATCCATCTATTAAGAAATCTCTCCTCTTTGAACAAAGTTTGAATGATAGCTAACATGACATACATTTTTTGGCAAGATAAGAGCTATTTAATTCGGACTCAAAGAGGTGTCTGACAGATTTTGAAATAAACAGGATCGGTGTCAATCTTAGCGTTGCTTTAAAGACATTTTATTCTCCATGTCTTGGAACAAGGTGGACTTGAAGTCTAATAAATTTTTTCTATGATTAAAATTATATAAAAACTAAATTAGATTCCGAATTTGAACAGTTGCCTTAAATAAAAACGAAACATCTTTTTCCAGCAAAAATACTTTTCAGGCTGTTCGTGTTAATGTCTCACCAAGGAGCGCTTTTGTCAGGTCGGAAGAAGACGAGTGGAGGCCAAACCAACTTAAAGGTGGAGTTCCTGTGGAGCAGCGCCTGTGAAATGAAATGTTTCCCATCTGTAGTGTCCATGGCACTTGCAGAAGTCCAACTTTGATTGGACTTCCTATTTGTGCTACTTCTCTTTGCTACCTCAAAGAGCAGTAGCACAACACTATGATTCCAGGTCAAAGTATAAAATAATCTTATCAAAATGCAGGATCAATAGAGACACACAGACCAAAGCTTTGTCACTTTCAGTTCACTTCCACTTTACTTTCTAAATTATGTCTGTAATGTTATGTTTGGAATTAAGAACTGATGTTACTTAGAAAGATACATGTTTTTACACGTGTCTCACAAATTATCCAATAAGAAAATTTAACTTTTTATGATTTTTTAGCGTTTCTGCTGATCTAAAGTATTTAATGTAAGATTATTAACAAATGATCACTGGACTTTGAGGGAGAACGTTTTTTACATTTGAAGAAAAAGGTTACATTTAGATTTAATTACATGCAGAAGTTTTCATCTGTTGTAACTTCAAAAAAGAAATAAGTGGAAACCCATGTTTTTATCTGTAGATGACTATAGTGCTTCTCACTATATAAATGCTTCTGTTCACCCTCTTCATATGATCAATAGCTTATTCCATGCGTCAGGGAATTACATTACTGGCTCTGGCTCCCTTGCCCAACACTTCTGCTCAAGTCAACTGGAATTCCAGTGCTTCAATCATAATTTCTGACACTTTTTTGTTTATAAAACCACTTTAAACTTCATTCCATTTTATCTGTCATGATTTTTAACAATGGAAAATGGAATCCACAATCTCTGATCAATCGATGTGATGCAGTTTGCTGTTCCAAAGTTCCAACTAAACTAGTCAAGAAATCAGTCTAGCATTCAGACCAAATACTTCAATCAAGCTGTATCTTAAAGCTCTGGTGACAGAATGAGTTTTAAGGCTCTTCTGAAATCATTAGGGTCTACAATGTTCGTTTCCAAATGTCATTTTTGATCAATGTGCTTATTTCAGATTGTATTTCTTCATTGTTTTTAGCAATGTAACTGTTTCCCTGCCTTCTTTGGATGACTTCTTTTGTAAATACAATTAAAAACTATATAATGGAAAAAAAAAAAAAAAAACATCTGGCAGAATGCTTGATGAGTCCCAGCCATTGCTGCACTATTATACATTTTAAAAGTCCCCATGGGAGGAATCTCAAAATGATATGAAAACCTCTTTTCTTTTAAATATTCTCTTCAAAATTATTAGTACTTTGAAAATTGTTTCCCATTCCTATTTGATTTTTTATTCTCTGTTATGTTTGGATGTGTCGGATATATCGATATTTGCAAGGTTCATGGTTTTCAAGCAGAACACTATTGTAACAAGTTTAACAATAGAATTAATTCAAACCATCTGAAGCTGCAACTGCAGAGAACTTTAGGCAGACTTTGAAATATAAGCCAACCACAGAGTGTCCCAGTTTTAACAAGTGTTTATTGTGCACTGATAAGGTGATGTAAAAATGAAACCGACACTTTGGGACTCATTCATGCTCTTGCAACCCCTCATATAAATTCCACTTAAGATAGGAAACATGCTTGACCGTAGCCTGCTGCCTCAAACTGAACAGATGTTGTAGCCCCTCTGCTGCAGAGTAGAAATACTGTACATGGGAGAAACCCAGGGCAAAGTAATAGTACCCTATCAGCTGAACAAAGAAAGGCAGAGCAGAGTCTACATTTCAAGGTGTTTAGTAAGATACATGTTTACATACTTGAAAAGTGTAATGTTTAATTCAATACTAATGTAGAACTGTAAGTTAGAACAATGGTGCTACCTTTCTTCTTGATATTTTCCTCTCTGTGCTTTTCTTGGCAGAGGGCAGACTGAGGTTACCAGGTGGTTCTTCTCCTATTCCACCTCCTTTCTTTGACTGGGCCTATGATTGAAACCAGGCATAGTTGTGGGGCAGGTTTTAAAATACTTTTCCAGACAGTGCATCGTGATACTACTCGTGCTCACCAGCTTTACATACAAACACAGACACAAAGCTGGCCCATGAAGGATCCTACCCCCAAACCCACCCCTCCCACTGCTATAACACTTGTTAAATCTTCCACTGATTTAACAAGGGTTTTAAGGTGGGGGATGCAAAGAACAGAGAAAGTCTAAGCAGAAAGATAGAACAGTCACAGCTGACAGAAAAAGAGAAAAATGACAGATATCTCTGTGCTGCTCCATCCAAAACTATTACCTCCTGTGCTCAGCAGCTCACAGCCCTTAAGATGACTGAGTGAGACTCGTTTGTCAGATTTTAAAGTTAAATATTTAGCAAAAGGGTCTTACCAAATACGTCTGTCTTTTGCATGTAGTCCTAGCCCCATTTGAACAGACAGAGGGAGATTAGAAGACATACTACTGTAGTCCTATTATAAAGAAATGCAACATAAACTTGTCTTTTTGAATTACATTTATTGATTTTAAAAGATGGGCTTTTGTGGTCTTTGTGCTTCTGCGTACACAAACTATATATATCAATATAAGCAAAGTTTAACCTAGTACTGTAAAAAAGAGTGTAATAGCCTTGTGAACAATCCAAAATTCATATTCATTTAAAGTAAATACTGCTCCTTTTACTTCTAAGCTTTATTATAGATATATATATATATATCTATATATATCTTTCTATATATATCTATCTATATATCTATAGATAGATATATATAGATATATACTGTATATGTGTGTGTGTGCAACATTGCCTTTCCTTAACTTACTATACCCTTTATCAAAAGATAATCATTGTGACGCACATGAGACCATGTTACTGGTTCCATTACGCAGGCATGTTTTGAAATATGGACAATGTGTCTCAGAGGGCCCTTAAGGGGGCCAGGGCCAATGTGGACTCCAGTGGTGTCAAGGGATTAAGAGTAAGTTTAGTGTTACTCTCAAACGGGAAGCATATCACACAGTTTAAAAAGAGAAAATCTGTTTCTTTCCTGGTTTATCAACTTGAATCATTGACTTATTAAATTTCCTTAAGGTTAAAGCACAATTTTCTTATAAGTCTTCTTATTTTCCATAATGATGTTCACATTATTCTTCCAGACCTTTAAGATTGTGGCCACTAATAAATGCATTAGCATTAAACAAAGAGTTAATCCAAGTATCCAAATGCTTTATTTGCAACTTAGCAGTTTTTCATAGTTGTGATGTTGATAAATTGATATTATGATCATAATTCAAACCTTTTTCACCTTTCACTTTCCAACCCAATGTAGACGTTGTTTGGGGGTAAAAATATTCGTCTTTTCAATTTCTTTTCAACCAAATGTTGCTTCCTTGTAAATAACACATGATAATATTGTTGCTGAACACAACACAAGCTAAATACACTATTTAAAATATCATCATTTACAGCTAAAAATGTATTGTTGAAAGAAAAAAAGTTGTAGCTCCTATGCACTCAAGGTTGACATGATCCCTGCACCTTCATATCCAGTCTCTCTCTTTCTGTCATTTATGGTAGTGTTTTGTCTGTGATGTGTTGAACGACTTGTCTTGGCAGGTGTGGTGGCTGTATTATCCAGGCTTATGGAGGGCAGATTCAGGGCATCTCCTGCTTTGGCTGCTAATTTGCATTTTTATTGCCACTGTCATATCCTCAGTTAATACACCATTGACTTCCCGAGCCACCCCTGGACCATACAGCATCACCTTGCTATCCCACCTGAAATGAGAGTGCCTCTCGGCCCCTAGATCTACATTGGCTCGAGCTTGGGTACCATTCGACCTGGCATTCTTGGACGGAAATGGAGTGTCCTCTCATGTTAATGTGGACTTTCCATTAGGAAAAGATGATTGATTTGTGTTGTACTGTTTCTTTGAATAGGATATAGAACTCTCACAATAGGGGCGAGTGATGAAGCTTTGTGTGCAGGTGAGGCCACATGCAAACTAGATTTAGTGAGACTGAATCAGTGGCTCATGATGGGGGGTGGGTGAGAGGTTTTCAGACGAAGAGAGATGGAAGGGAAAGCTGAATGCGGGAGGGTGAAGGTTAGGAGGTGAAAAGGAGCAAAGGAGCAGTGGAGGGTTTCGAGGTGTGAAGGGTTGGGGAGACAAGTG